GAGTACTTCCAATAGGTTCACTTCTGATGGATTTTCATATGCCGGTCAGTGGTTTTTGAATAACTGAAGAACGAAAAGCGATAGAGACTTCTGCTTTTTGCGGTTAGATAGCCAAGACTTTAAATTATCTTTTTATAAATTATCTTTTTAAACTAAAATAAAGTTGAAAGTACTTCTCAGTGACCGGTTTTCTACGAGATCTCTAGAAAACCGTTTTGTAACTCTAAGCGATAAAGTAGCAATAGATTGGTTTTTTTTTGAGTAACTAGCCTAAACTGTCCTCTTCAGAATGGGAGCCAAGCGAGACTTTGATTTTGAGTGATCTGGCAGTGGTATCTGGTTTCCATGGAGCACCAGGACTGGCACACAGTGGCTTCCAATGACCTTGAAAGAGACAGACTAACATAAAGTAAGATAAAATAAACGCTGCCATCAGATTTAGCATGCTCGACTATGTACTTATCTTCTTCTTTCAAGGTCACTGGAAGCCACTGTTGCCAACCGTTTTCTAGAGATCTCCTAGAAAACCGGTCACTGAGAAGACGTCAATTTTATACTTAAGTCTGACTTAAATTTTTTTATGAAACTGGCTCCTGTTGACACAAGTTGATTTGCGCCTTTTACCAAAATTCCTTAAAATGTTTGGTCTACAAAAGCCCCCTACTTTGGAAAAGTTTCGAGAATATCGATTGAAGAATGTCGGTCGTGGCTTACGTGCAATGGCTCATAAAATACCAAGAAGAATCCACTAAATATCTCACCACCCTCCTTCGCAACTCAGCTAAATCCAACAACTTTACAAACGCCACCCATCCAAGTTCTAAAAATCAATAATACATACTCCAGCATTAAAACAGTTCATAACTTTGCATCGTATACCTGCACCCAATCGACAAAACGTAAAACCCAGCGCAGTACTTTCACACAACATGTCCTAAGTTCGTCAATATAAAACGGCATTTTCAACCGAAATTCCATGGCAAACATGATACCCGTGAACCCGACACCCCAACATGAAACAGTGATCGACGACATCGAAATCTATGCCTGAGAGCCGAACAAAATCAGCAGATTCTTGATGAGAAGCAGTACCACAAGGTTGTTGATTTTGTCCGGTATTATGAAAACGTGTTTTAGACACAATAGTGCAGTACCACATGCGTTCCACGGCACTCGACTGTGTCCGCTATTATGAAAAAGTGTTTTCAACTCAATCGTGCACGGTTAACACGAAACTGTGACCGATGACATCGAAATCTATGCCTGAGTGCTGGACAAAATCGGAGACTCCTGATGAGACGGTGCACCACATGCGTTCTATGCTTCTTGATTTCGTCCGGTATTATGACAACCTGTTTTCCACTCAATAGTGCACGGAAAACACCAAACTGTGATCAGCAAAATCGGAGATTCCTGATGAGAACAAATACCACACGCGTTCAATACTTCTTGATTTTGTCCAGTATTATGGCGACGTCTTCTCAACCCAACAGTGCACAGGAAACACGAAACTCTGATCGATGACATCGAAATCTATGCCTGAGACACGGACAAAATCGGAGATTCCTGATGAGCAGGAGCACCACAACCGTTCTATTGCTCTTGATTTTCCCCGGTATTATGACAACGTGTTTTCCACTCAATAGTGCACGGAAAACACGAAACTGTGATCGATGACATCGAAATGTATGCCTGAGAGCTGGACAGAATCGGAGACTCCTGATGAGACGCAGTACCACATGCGTTCGATGCTTCTTCATTCTGTCGGGTATTATGACAAGGTGTTTTCAACTCAATAGTGCACGAAAAGCACGACACTATGATCGACGACATCGAAAGCTATGCCTCAGTGCTCGACAAAATCGGAGATTCCGGATGAGACGGTGTACCACATGCGTTCTATGGTTCTTGATTTTCTCCGGTATTGTGGCGACGTCTTCTCAACTCAACAGTGCACCCGAAAGACGGAACTGTGCTGTGAAAAAGAATATTTTTCTGCTTTTGTTCCTTTGACTAGTCCATAAGATCTAACAACTATTTCTCCGTGCTTTGAACACAGACAGATGTACACACATAACAGACAACCATTTTGTATTATCCTATGCTAGACTAAAATTAATCTATTTAAATGTGCATTAAAAGTTATAGTCTGAATGATAGCGTAATCAGTACGAAAGGGAGGCTGAATGATCATTTTCGATTACAAAGGCGGGATCAATAGCGTAGAAAAAATGTTTACGTAATGTTGGAACAATCGTCAGATTGATAGATTCAAGATGTGCTCCCTTCTCTCATTCTGTACTCCATGAATTTCGTTAAATATATAATTTTAGCCTACGGTACTCGACTGTGTCCGGTATTATGACAACGTGTTTTCCACTCAGTAGTGCACGGAAAACACGAAACTGTGATCGATGACATCGAAATGTATGCCTGAGAGCTGGACAGAATCGGAGACTCCTGATGAGACGCAGTACCAGATGCGTTCGATGCTTCTTAGTTTTGTGGTACTGCAATATTGTGTTGAAAACACGTTTTCATAATAGCGGACAAAATCAAGCACCATAGAAACGCATGTGGTTCGCCGTGTCATCCGGAATGTGCGATAGATTTCGATGTTATCGATCACAGTTTCGTGTTTCCTGTGCACTATTGAGTTGAAAACACCTTGTCATAATACCGGACCAAATGAAGAACCATAGAACGCATTTGGTACTGCTTCTCATCAGGAGTCTCCGACTTTGTCCGTATGTCATCGATCGATGCTTCTTCGATGCTTCTTAGTTTTGTGGTACTGCACTATTGTGTTGAAAACACCTTTTCATAATACCGAGGAAAATCAAGAGCAATAGAACGGTTGTGGTGCTCCTGCTCATCAGGAATCTCCGATTTTGTCCGTGTCTCAGGCATAGATTTCGATGTCATCGATCAGAGTTTCGTGTTTCCTGTGCACTGTTGGGTTGAGAAGACGTCGCCATAATACTGGACAAAATCAAGAAGTAATGAACGCATGTGGTATTTGTTCTCATCAGGAATCTCCGATTTTGCCGATCACAGTTTGGTGTTTTCCGTGCACTATTGAGTGGAAAACAGGTTGTCATAATACCGGACGAAATCAAGAAGCATAGAACGCATGTGGTGCGCCGTCTCATCAGGAGTCTCCGATTTTGTCCAGCTCTCAGGCATAGATTTCGATGTCATCGATCACTGTTTCATGCTGGGGTGTCGGGTTTACGGGTATCATGTTTGCTATGGAATTTTCGGTTGAGAATGCCGTTTTATATTGACGAACTCAGGACATGTTGTGTGAAAGTACTGCGCTGGGTTTTACGTTTTGTGGATTGGGTGCAGGTATACGATGCAAAGTTATGAACTGATTTAATGCTGAGGGCGGTCATTACTTTGTTGTCAAACGTCAAGCTATGAATGTTATGAATGTTCGAGAATCCATCAACAATCACACAGAAGCCTTGCACAAATCGTGCGTTCGAATTTCCCATATGTCACGTGCTGTCATCCTGTTTAGCCAGCTCACACTCAACTTGCCCCCCCCCCGACCGCGCCGTTACGACAAGCGTCAAACCGATACTGACAGATGGTCAAACATTTATCATTCATACCTTCATGCTTGACATATGTCAAACGTGTCATGACACAATTGTGTGCGGTCGTGATATGTGTCAAACCGGTACCGGACAAAGTCAAGAAGCATCCAACGCATGTGGTACTCCTTCTCATCAGGAATCTCCGATGTTGCCCGTCTCTCAGGCATAGATTTCAATGTCATCGATCACAGTTTCGTGTTTCCCGTGCACTTTTGAGTTGAAAACACGTTGTCATAATACCGGACACAATCAAGAACCACAGAACGCCTGTAGCACTCCGTCTCATCCGGAATCTGCGATTTTGTCAGCTCTGAGGCATAGATTTCGATGTCATCGATCACAGTTTTGTGTTTTCCGTGCACTATTGAGTTGAAAACACCGTTTCATAATACCGGACAAAATCAAGAAGCATAGAACGCATGTGGTACTGCGTCTCATCAGGAGTCTCCGATTTTGTCCGGCTCTCAGGCATAGATTTCGATGTCATCGATCACAGTTTCGTGTTTCCCGTGGTTGTCTGTTATGTGTGTGTGCATCTGTCTGTGTCCAAAGCACGGAGAAATAGTTGTTGGATCTTATGGACCAGCCAATCATAAGGAACAAAAGCAGAAAAATATTTTTTACGGTACCTCGGTCTTTTCTTCGTATTTCGTTAATTGACAAAACAATAACTATCTGACACTTGTATTCTGTCTGTGCTCATAGTTAGGGTTAGACAATGTCCTTCTTCATTTTCGTATACATAATGATAACGTTCTCCGTCACAGATATCTCGGATAGTTGATGATGACTGACCAGATGGCCGTTTAAGATGGAAATACTTTGTTCTGGCAAGTTCTGACAAGTATTTCGGAGATTTGTGGTTTTATCGGGATATGCAGGAATTTAGTAGTGGTTTGGCATACGCAACATATTCTGAACGTTCGGTATTTTCACATTTCGATGTTGTACTGGAAAGAGATTCACATTTTGAACAAACAGTATATTTGTCACTTGTACTATCACCATAAGAATTGTCGTACAAAAGACGTTTAATTTGTGAATACGAGGTTGGTGCATTTTCGACTTTGAAGACTTTAAGTAATTTACACCAATCATCAACGCAGCTGATAGATAGTTTGTGTCTTGCTTTTGACATTATTATGGCAATACATTTTTCAAATATGGATGGAGTCAGTGTGAGTTTCCTAAAGAGGCATAAGTTAATTAATAAATCGGTAGGCTTAAGCATCTACGAAACTTATCTTAGACGCTTGCAATACGAAAACGTTGTGCTAATGATACATTTGCCTTATTATCGACATCAATACATAGAAAATTGACATGTGGCAAATCTTGATCATAAGACAAATCCAGTATAACTGGAAAAAACATTTTTGAACCAATGCTCCAGCAAACGGCGAATAAAACTACATTTAGACGTCATTCTGTCACAGATGTGTCAAATTCCTCTTCACTGTTGCATGCACGCAATGGCATCGAAATAAGAAATTTTCTTTCAAAAAAAAGACTGATAGATAATTAATACTAATAACCGAAACATTATCCCCATAGTACTACTCTCATGTTGATCTCTGTTGATATTGAAGTACAATAATCAACATTGCTCACATTTTCTGTTATACAATTATTCATAATTAACCCTAAAGAAGTGTGATTTAGATTCAACATTGCTGCACGCAGATAGTTTGATAGTTGAAAAGATGCTATTGTTGTTTCATAACAAGGCAGCATATCGTATGAGTGAAAAAAACACAGAAAGGAAAAAAGAAAACTCGCTAGTAGGTGTATATTTATCATGATTGATGATTATTGATGTTTATTGATGGGGTGTGCTTAGACATAATATTTTCTTCTTTCACTTGTGTATCCTTATTTTAGATCGAAAAATATTTAATGAATGTTCATATACATAATGTTCATATGAATGTTCAGTCGTCTGTATTGTGAATAAAACGCATCAGTTCGTAGAAAAATTTGACATATGATCGTTCGCCTAATTAAAGATATAGTAGATAGATTCATCTTATTTTCCTTTCAGTAGAGATCAGCTGTGATGAGTCAATTCACTCACCACACTACAATTATTCTCTTTTAAATTTGACTTTTTGTTATTGTTTTTTCCAATCCCTTTTAAATATTTGAAAGACCTGGATGTGTTAAGTGATGGATGAGATTTAAAATTAAATTTTGAAAAAGGTATGCAAAGATTTATAATTAATGTTATATGTTGTTGATCCAGAGATTAGAAATATTGTGAACAGATGCCTGCAGAACAATACAAAATGTGAGACTCCTTGCCGAGACAGTTGAGTTTCACTCTTTTCTCGTTTTATGTTTAAATTTATGTGGTTAATTTGTTAAAGTTACAGGCTAGCAGAGTTAAATATGTCTTCTACCGAGAGCACGCTTACTGCTTGACTACATTTTTTACCCTTTTCCTTTGGAATATAATACATTAGAAAATATCGTAAGAGTGACGAGAAAAATGCGTCAAGTGCACTCTGTACACTCTAAAAAAAGATGCGACTACTAGGAAGACGCCGAACGAGTTTAGAAAATTTTTTTGAAAAAATGCTGGAAAAAGTTTCCACAGGAAATTAGTATTTCAAGTTTCAAAATTTTTCTTGAACTTTCGGGGATACGTCTCGCCAAAAATAGAAAATCTTCTGGGTTATCGAGTTTGCTGAATAAGAAAAAGCATTTTTCCCCGACTCTGCATGCACTTTATTTTCTGTCGGTGATACGGTCGGTTCCCATTTAGTCACATAATTGCGCCTATTTTAAAGGCACATTATATGACTATTGTACACTGTAAACTTGAAAATAAGTTATAGAAAATAAAAAACGATTTTCAATTTGTCCATATACAAATTCAACAGCGATTTTCTATTTTCTTGAAAATGTGATTTTCAAGAATTTTACCTTTTTCATAGAACGTGTCTGGATTTTCTGGAAAATCAATTCAACTTTTTTAGAAAATCGCCGTTGATTTTTCAGAAAGTCAAAAGCGATACTCTAGAAAATAAATCGATTTTGAATAAAACCAACGACGATTTTTAAATTTGAAAATCACCGGCGAATTCGTATGTGGACAAATTGAAAATCAAAAATGGAATATATTTTTAAAGAAATTGAAAATCCAGAACGATTTTTTAAGATCGTTTAGCGTTTTTCTAGTTTCCTTTTCTGAGTGTTATTTTTGTTTACTTTCCACTCCTTCCCTCTTTTTGTTGTTTTAGAAAATTAGAGCATAAAATAAACGTGATTCTTCGAGACAAATTCCGGATATATCTATATCCAGTGAAGGGAAGAAGTGATAATCTTTTCAAGTACACGGTCTGGAACTAATCATAGTTGTGAGTGTCTCAGTTCACAAGTGCTAACACTGTATATGCTCCACGTCAATGTAGAAGGTTATGAGATACCAATACATCTTGTCTCTTCTTCACCAAAAGCAACCTAAGAACAAGTACTCGTGTAGTACAGTCATTCGCATTACGCTTATATATACTTTTTTTTCTCATCCATGAGAAACTAGGTTTTAGAAGGAAAGCAAGCAAATAATGTTTCTCTTCTTCTGAAAAAAGTGAATGACGAGCAAGAGAACGAGTTTTATTATTATTTATTTCATCTGAGTCTTTTACTGCAACATCACAGAAAAAATACAGCTAAAGAAAGACTAATATAACACATTCTCGTAACTGGCAGATGAATTACCGCATAAATTTTCTCTAACACACTGTTCACAAAATACAGAAGATAAATAAAGAAAAATAATGAATCTCTGCAAACACCGTTTCCTAGACTTTTGCTAGGGTCCAGTACACAAAAGTTCAAATCTTATCCTAACTGACATTCTTTCAAAAATCTCGTGGCTGCCAACGATAAAGAAAAGTTTCGCTTTGCAAAAACAAGTCCGTTCAATGTTTCTAAAGTGTTTCTGAGTTGATCCGGATATTTGATATTGAATATCTCATACGATCCAATCAGTAGAGCCACTGCCAGTATTTGTGAGTCGGTCTGTATCAGATTTTCATGTTCGACTATAATCTTATACTGACGTCGATCATCATCATTCATTCTTGTTTGGATCATTGGATATACAGCCACTGGAGTCTGAAATAGGAACAGAAAGCTAGTACTACTTCACTCTTTTCCCACTTCAAATAACTTACATCATTTATCAAAAGTCGTTTCGACTGTTTGAATCGTTTCATTATATATTCCAATACTGCGAATGGCAAATCGTCTAAACAATACGAGAAGAGAAAACATAGTGGACCTGGAAACTCTTCATATCGCATACCACTATCAATATTTTCCTTTCCAATGGTTTTAGTTAACTGTTCGCTAAGAGTCAACGATAATTTATGAAAGTTTTTCTTAACTGCTTCTGACACACTGCTGAAGTAAGGATCACAGCGAAGGTTGACTTCACGAAGAAACTAAAGAGAAAGGAGCAGGAAATGTACCGATCCCATTAAGCGTTAATGCAAAGAGAAAGTGTGATTAGACAAAAGATAGACTCACAATAGATGTAATTGTCAATGCTGGGTAATATTCAAGGATTTCTTTGACTAAGGTGTTATTCATTATCATTTGCCGTCGATGTGAATACGTAAAATCAAATTTCTGTTTCACGGTTGACATGTCATAGTTTGTTGTTCGTAACATTTCCACCATCCCATTGATATGTTCGTCGAACATTAATAAATCGTCCATTTGTTGTTCTTCCTCAGCGGGTAAATACTCCTACAATAAGTAGAAATGTTTGGTTATTTAGGTTCTCTCAGAACGAATTCTGCACTTATTTACCCGACGCTCAACTTTTTCACATTTTTGTATTTTCAACTTTCGTCCAGAATTTGTATGACCATGTGCTGCTCTTTTCCTGAGCACAATTTCACTAGGAGAAGACGATAAATGACGATCTCTTGAAAATTGCTGTTTCAATGCATGCGTGAAGAGCGACTAAAAAATGGTATAAAGAAGAAAGCAACTGCACAAGAGACGTACTTTCTAACTAACCATTTGATCCCCAAAGACTTTCTCAAGTTGAGGGTACTATAGTACTCACATCTGTCGGTCTTCTTTTGAGTCGCATGGAAGACGCTGGAGTCGGTTCCTATTTAGCCGCATTAATGTGTCGGCTCCTTGGAAGTCGCTCTGATGTGCCTTCTGGATAAGACATATTAAAAAAAGTTTTCTTTCCTGTCGAGACTCGAACTCGGTCTGTTCGCTTATCGGTGGAACAAGTTCACTATTGAAACACCAAGGTACATCAATTATTAGTCTTACTAGTGTCCTATGTTGAAGTTTCATGTAGGACTTCGGTTAAAAACTTAAAGCAGAAACACATAGAAGTAGCTAGGACAAAGAAACAATGCTTTTTTTCTGACCATTTCCTTGTCTCCGACGCTGAAGTTGAAAGTTTTTTTTTTTTATATAAAACTTTTTATTGAAAAAGAAAAAAGAACCATTGCGCAAACGGCTTTCGCCATATGTGCGCCTTAGAATGTATTAAAAAGAACGTATAATGAGCTTAGAAGGAAGAACCGCCTTATCCAAAAGTCTAGCGTGCCATCTCATCAGCCCAACAAGGGATTCCCCTCTTGAGGCAAAATTATCAATATGTTTGTCCCATTTCAAGTTATATGAAAGATAAAGCCCCAAATATTTAACAAAATCTTTTTCAGATAAAACTACTCCTAGGAGTGATAAAACAGGAAGGGTAAAAGTGATACTTCTCGATTGTCTGGTAGAACAACTTATTGCTTCGCATTTGGTAGGATTCAAAGGGATTTTCCACTTCTTAGCCCATTCTACAACACGGATAAGATCTCGAGCCAGAGGCAAGAACAAGATCACTATCGTGCGAAAAAAGAAGAGTGTCATCAGCGAATAATCGAATTGTGCTTTCAATTTTTATCGGCAAATCATCAATGTAGATGAGAAGTAATAAGGGTCCAAGGACCGAGCCTTGAGCCACGCCCTTGGAAATGCCTCAGGGAGCTGAAGTTACACCGTCAATCATAGTCTGACTAGTTCGACCACGTAAATAGTCGACTATCCAGGCCAGTGCTTTTCCTTTAACACCCTTCTTCTTCAGTTTAAATACTAACCCTTCATGGGAAACTTGATCAAAAGCTTTCTGAAAATCTAGGAGAACTGCTCTTACCACCTTATCGTTTTCCATCCCCCGCTCTTATGTTTTCTATCACGTCTAAAAGGAGATTTGTCGTACTATCTCCGGCTATAAAGCCTGACTGAAAGGGAGATAGTAACTTATTCTTAG